CTGGAGAGAGAGGAGAGGAGACGAGGCACGCCCTCGTCGCTGCCGGCATGGGCCGGGGCGGCGGGCAGAGGAGACCAGCCATTGTCGGCATGGGTCACGGCGGACCGCAGCAGCAGCAGCAGCAGCAGCAGCCACAGGCGTCGATGCAGCCACCGCAGCAGCAGCAGCGGCAGCAGCAGCAGCAGCAGCAGCAGCAGCTGGGTCCGTACATCTGCCAGTACCACGGGCCCAACACCTCGCACGCGACCGCTGACTGTCACAAGTTGCGCAGAGAGTTCCTGGTGAATTACAACGAGATTCAGCGCGTACTTGAGCGGCAGGAGGGGACGCCGAGGCGGCCGCTCATCCACGAGGCGGATCGCAGAACCTGGGGCGGGTTGGTGGTCCATCAGTACAGCAGTCGTACCAATTCCAACACGGTGCGGGCTGGAGCCAGGGCCACCCTCATGCGCCTCAGGGGCCGCCGCGTGGGCCAGGACCCGGAGCTGGGGGGCAGATGCAGGGGCGCAACGATGGGGGACGGGGCTACGGCGGCTACGGGCCTCGCCCCTACGAAAGCCGTGGGCAAGGCGGCGGCCGCGGGGGCAATTTCCCGCCGGCCAACGTACCTGCAGGGCAGCTTGCCAGCGTCCCGCGGCCCTTTTTTCCGGCTCACCTGGCCATCGGGGGCGGAGATTCGTTCGGTGGCGAAAGCAGCTCGGGATGGCAGCAAACGTCGGCGCCGGCACCCACGCCAAGCTGGGCCCCATCACCTTCCGAGGCGGGATACGGGTATGGGCTCGCGGCTCACGGGGGGAACCACAGCGGCGGTTCCTACGGCAACGCCGGCGGGGGATTTGGCTTCGGCTATTTTTCCGAAGACGGCGGGCCGCACCAGCAGCAGGAGGCCAACGTAACATACTGCCCTTCTGCTGCAGGTCCTGACGCGTATCAGCCGAGAGTCTACAACGAGGCCTTCTACGTCTCGGAGCAGCCGGCGCCCTTCCCGCAGCAGCAGGCGAGTTTTGAGCAGCAGCAGGAGCAGCAGTACCACGGCGTGCCTCAGGCGGCCTCTTCCTCCTCCTCTCCCTCTCCAGATCCAGGCGACGTTCTACCTCCTGCTGGCGACGCCCCTCTTCGTCTCTTCATGGCACGAAGTGTGTGCCCTCGAGGCAAGTTTGATTCTTTTCTTGAGTCTGCGTTTGGTTTTAAGGCGTCTGACGTTTTCGTACCTGCTGTACCCGGTGTTGACCCTGAAATGCTTGCGAGTCACGATAGGAATCACTGTTTTTCTGAGCAAGATTTGCACAGGGTTGCTTCTCCGAGTCTGTCTGCGATGTTCGAGAATTATGAGAAGGAGACCGATTTTCATGAGACTGATGCGATTGTGCCCGCTGTGCCTGACGTGGTTGTGAGTACTGAGTCTGATGGGATAATGCATGCTGTCCATGATGTGAGGGTGCCTTCTATGCCTGCTGTGATCGCGACTGCTGAGCCGGATAAGATTGTGCCTGCTGCCTCTGATGTATCTGGAATGCTAATTGTAGCTCGTGTCACCAAGCGTCCCACAGTAGACAAAGCTTTTCTATGCCAACCGTACATGCCGAATCCGAAGGGTAGCGAGCAGTGGCAGGCCGATTCTGGAGCGAGCGCGATGATTTCGAACCAGATAGATCACATGTACGACATTCGCCACTTGGGCCAGGATGAACAATTTATTCAAATTGGAGACTCGGCTCTCATCAAGGTTGCAGCTGTAGGAAGCTTAGACCTTCGGTTCCACCAAATCGGAGCCGACGGGAAACAGGAAGACATAGACATTACTGTGCCAGAAGTTTTGTTTGTGCCCGGGTGTGGATTCAATCTTTTTTCGGTTTGGAAAGTTTCGCACAAGCATGAAGTCCGCATAAACCCTAGCGGAACTCAACTGCTGCACGGTAAACTACGATTCATCCGTGGAGTGTCAAGTGACTCCCTTTTCGCCTCCCGCCTTCCCCACAAAGATGTGTCTCAAGTGAATGTTGCGCGTGAGAGTTTTCTGGTGAAGCCGGCCTCTACTGCCGAGAGTAGTGACCCCTCGAGAGAATGGGCCCATTCCTGCATGTTGAACATCTTTATGCATGCCCAGAGATCTGAAGTGTTGACTTGCCTTCTGGATTCGGATTTTGAACCCCCCCGCGTGACGGATGTTTCGGCAGAATCCTCTGCCAGGATGATAGATGTTTGGGAGGGTGCTGAGTGTGATCGTGCTTTGGCTGTGTTGGGTCCGGGTAAGACGCCTTT